AAAAAAATCAAAGTGCAGGAAAGCAAGCTGAGGTTATGACATAGCTCCAGGTTGGCAGATGTTGGCCCTGTACCAAACTACGTCGATATTTCATTCCAATAGGTGGGGACTATTTACAGGTGAGCCCTATGCTCACACTTCTCATAATAGAGATGCAACTACACACCTTCTGTTAACCATTAACAACTGTTCTACAGCAATCTTTCAGGATATTCCGAGTAAAAGAACAAGGGGTAAAGATGGGGTGTACTTACCTTTTGGGTTTGCCCTTTAGGTATTTAAAATTTGTAAGCCAGAAATCCAAGGGTTGGAATCAGCACTGGTGGCATAAATAAGATGACCTCTTCCTCCTCCTTTTTAAAGGAAAGATCAATCTCAACGTATCCAACAAGGAAAAGAAGCTCCAAAGAATCTGATAGAGTTGTATGTTGCTGTAACTTTACTTTTGTGACAAAGCGTGCTGAACAATTTTGGTTGCTTGAGCTTGTCCTAGTCGTGAGAGAATACTGAGACCTTCCTTTGGACTTCACATGGTAGAAAGTTCTATTTGACTCTCTTCTCCACGCCTTTCCCAAGACTTGCCATGCTCTTTATCTGGTTACAAGAATCTAGGACTGTTTCCCTGAAGGAGACCAAACATAGGGGGTATCACTCCTTGTCCCTTAGATAAGGCTACAGCATGACTGTGATTAAAATGCACATGCGGTCTAATTGAATTTCAGATTGGCAGAACTTTTAGAAGTGACATAGCTTATACCCAGGCATAGGAGATGCTTTCAGTTGATTGTGTCCTTAATTGCCTAGGTGGTTAAGGAGCCAGAAATGTAAGTATGCAAGAAAAAAACACTGGTTTCTTACACACCCCTCTTGATGTATGCAGTCTTCCTGACAAGAGGTGTCCCTGTAATCACGCTTCTGATTAGTTAGCTCTGGTGAGCACGGCAGAAAATAGTGGACTGTGATGGATTAATCAAATCAGGATAGATACGGATCACCAATTTATCTTTTGTTACTGTTCCTCTCTCTCTGACAAAATGCAGGCTGTCTCACTGGCTTGTTAAATGGCAATCATTTTAAATTTGCTCATTGGGTTTCTGATGAGCAAGACATAACAATGTGCATTGCTATGAATATATAAGATTTTCCCCATGTTGTAACATTTTCTAAACGCAGTTTCAATGGTACGAACTTTAGCTAGCTTTTAACTGGTTTTCTTCCTTCTAATCTGTATGTAAATACAATATTGATTTTTTTTTTGGTCTATTACTTAGGATTCTTTTGGTTCCAAGTAATGGCTGAAACCCAGCTCAAACTGGTTTAGAGAAGGAAAAAAAAGAATTTGTTGTCTCGTATGATTGGAAAGTTCAGGTGTAAAACTATCTTAGGACACCGCTAGATCTGAAACCTCAAGTTCTCTATGTTCCAACTCTGCTTTCCCTGTGGTTAGCTTCATTCTCAGATGGGATCTTCCCACAAAGTGGCATTAATGGCCACCAATAGCTTCAACCTGAAAGTCTGGACAGTCTAGCAACACTAGGGAAAACAGAGACTCTTTCTAGCAAACATCTCAGGGTTAGCTTTCACTAGTCTAGCCGGTAAGCTAATGCACTGGGGCCAGGGAGTGAACTGTTCTGATTGGCCAGTGTTGGTCTTGCGCTCATCCCTAGACCTAGGGATTGAGGCAGGGGAGGGGTGGTTCTCCAAAGGAAATTCAAAGTGCTGTTTTCAGAGAAAGAAGGATTCCTTCTCTTCCAGTAGAAGGAAGTGTGCTATGATGACAAGAACTCTACCAAATAAAGCTTGAGTTTTGGAATTCACAGACCTGGATTCTCTTCCCAATTTGGTCAAGTGCCAGCTGTGTGACTTCGGCAAATCAGTTAACCTCTCTGGCTCATAGTATCTTCATCTCACAGTAAAGGACAAAGACTCCTCGGTTGGAAAAAGAGGAAAAAGACAATGTTTGGCACTTGCTAACACTTAGTAAAAGGTAACTAAATAGATGAGATGGTTTTTTGCTACTTTTAAAAATTACAGTATTGTACCCTGGGTGATCTATAGATTACCTCCCAGTTGGAAAATCACAAGCTCAAACCTCAGCTTCTTCATTTGCAAAACTAATTAGCTATTTATTTGACTCAACAAGTATCTATAAAGAGAATGTAATGTACCAGGTATTTTTCTAGGCACTAAGGATATAATAGCGATCAGATCTCTACCTATGCCCTCTTGAAACTATTCTAGTGAGGAAGATCAATTATTAATAAAGAACTATGGAGTATATATAATGCATGTGCCAGTAAGAGAAAATAGAGTGGATAAAGAGGATAGAAACTTCTAGAAAATGAGGTCTGAAATTCTGCTCAGGTGATCAGGGAAGACTTCAATGAGGAAGTGACAGTTGAGCAGTAGATAGGAGACAATGAGTGAAAAGGCCCTGAGGTGAAAGCCTACTTTTATGGCCAAGGAAAGTAGCAAAACCAGTGAGTTCAAGGGCACTGAGGGGGTGGGGCATGGCTAAAGTTGAGATTGGTGAGGAGCTGGGTGGGGCCAGATCACTTCAGGTCTGGTTGGCCATGACAAGGAGATTAGATTTTATTCTAGTGTGACTAGAAGCCACTAGAATTTTATGCAGGCAAGACGTGATTTGACTTACATGTTGAAAATCCCATGCTGGCTCCTGTGGGGGCAAAGATAGTGGGGCAAGCAGGAGAGCAGTTAGGGAGGGCGTGGAAGGATCTGAAGAAAAGAGATGGTGGTGTGGACCAGGGTGCTGGTTCTGGAGGGAATGAGAAAAACTCGGGTTAAGGAATCATTTTCAAAATAGAGAGGATGAATTTGCTGACAGTTTGGTTGTAGGGTGTGAGAAAAAGAGGTTGTTTGAGTAACTGGGTAAATGGTGGCACCATTTGCCAAAATGGAAAGCACTAGGGGAGGATGAGGTTTTTGTGTTGGGAGTGGGAAATGTAGAGTTCAATTTGAAATGCTTTTTATTTTGTTTTTAAATATTTTTAAAGTAATCTCTGCACCCAATGCGGGGCTCGAATTTAACAGCCCCTAGATCAAGAGTCCCATGCTCCACTGACTGAGCCAGCCAGACATCCCTGAAATGCTTTTTATTTTAAGCCATGGGAATGGATGTGATCATTTCTTTTTTTTTTTTTTT